GGTCTGCATATATTGGCCCTGATATACCTAGAAATAAGGCATGATTTACCTCAGTCAGACATGCGTTCAATTTTCTTGCTTATATGGAGCTAGTTGTTGTTTGACAGTCAGCTCTCTATCTCATGAATATTCATATGCAATACAAAAAATTGCTCTCAACACAGAAGAAAAAAAAAGAAAGAAAGAAAATTGCAGCAAATGAATAAATGAGTCTTATTCTAGCCTCAGTTCAAGATGGCCCCTTTGAGAAAAGTATATCTATGAAAACTCTGTTCAGTTAAAATTTTGATTAACATTTCTCAAATAATAATATTGACAGTAATATTAAAGCAGAGATATAATTTCTAATCCAGATGACCGCTGTCTTGATGAGTTACTCCCAGATACTACTGAACAGAGATATGTATTTTCAGATAGTAAAGTGGTATTAAAGGTCCAGTTTGGAAGTACATCAGAAATAAGGCTAAAGAGGTGTTCTCCGCATGTGAAAAAGACTAGAGATGAGTAATAGCTGGTCGTGTGTGTGGGGTGGAGGTATGTGAAAAATACCTGAGATGAGTAATAGCTGGTCGTATGTGTGGGGTGAGGAGAAAGGGAGAGGATGGAGGCAATGTTTGTGAGTAGAAGAGAAAATGGACTTTTCTGGTTATATTTTCAAGGTTGATTGTGTCCACAGTCTAGCAACAGGGAGAAGGGAGTTTGTGGTTCAATGACCAGCTGAAGAGCCAGTACCAATGACTCAAATGACAGGTTTTAAATTGAATCAAAAAAGATATTCTTATGAGCAAAGTACAGGATATAAAATACTAGGATTACATAAGGAGCCACCCAGTAACTAGTCACTTCCCTTACATAAGGAGCCACCCAGTAACTAGTCACTTCCCTTCATGTGAATGTACCCTTTCCCTGGCCTCTGTAATACTGACCTCAAAGTGGTCTATGGCTGCCACATCTGCTCTTCACCAGGGAAGAATGAGAATGTTCTGAGATCTCAGAACTCTTGAGATCTATGAGTAACATGGAAGAAACAAAAATAAAAATATATTTTTATAGCAGTTTCCAGACTAGCATATTATTTTTTGATCAGACTAAGATACTATTTTTTGTTGTTTCTCCTTTAATAGCTTTAAGTCTGTGTGCTCCAGGAAGTTAAATATAATATAAGTCTTATTCCCTACTATATTACAGGAACTGCCACATAGATAATTTGTGTGTGTGTGGGGGGGGGGTAGTGAGGTTTATTTTTATTTATTTTTTATTATTAACATATTCATTATTACAAACCATAATTTTTCCTTAT